TCTGCTCGGTTACATTTGCTGGGCTTTGTCGAGTTCACTGCGTCTTGGCTTATCATGAGCTTGGTGGGAGAAGGTTCTTAACCTTGTGCCCTCTTGTACTTCGGGAGATGTATAAGAAACAGCCCTATGGACTTGCTGGAGCTGCTCTGCTGAGGCTCCCTCTGTCCTGCTCCTGCTGCCAGTGACAAGCAGTGAGACAGGTTCATGGCCAGCAAGCAGCACAGGCTGCTATGGACCTTGCCAGAGTGCCTGCGAGCAAAATGGGGTGTACAAATCCATCTTTGCTTGCCGTTCCCAGCATGGGTGCCTGTACCACCAGTGCTGTCCTCCCCCAGCCTACCCTGGATGGGTTCAGGTGTCTGACATTGGTGTTCCCAGGGAACCTATGTGACTGTTTTTGCTTTGCTGCTAGCTCAGGGTAACCAGATTACTTAACAGTGCAATTGTTTTTCTGGACAGGAAGGCTATTAGTAGAATCTGGGCTATAAATCTGTATTTTTTCCTCCTTGGACACATAATTGGATCTTCCAGAAACTGCCTGGTTGCATGATGAATGTTGTTTTTAAGCTGTATGAGCCATTCATGTCTCTAAATCCCATAACAATGCCAGTCAGATGGAGCAAGCAGGGGGCTGAGGGATCCTGTGGCTGTCCTGGCATGGATGAGGTGCAGGGGAGGCTGCGGCTTCATAGTGTGAGAGACAAGATTGCTTCTGCAAAGTTGGCTTTGCTCTTTTCTTGATGGGACCATCTGGGCTGGGTTGGCTTCTTCCTGCAGTTACATGAGAAGTGGTGTCTGCATACACAGGACTGTTTTAGAGCAGAGCCTGTTACACGTGCCTGTCTGTTTTGAGGAGGGAGCTCTGGGGAATATGAAATGCATTCTGTGCACTCACACTTTTCCTTTGACCTTCTCTTCTTGAAAATGAGGGGGAAATCAGAGTCCTGGCTTGAGGTAGTCATGGTAGTGATATAAAAATGACTTAAAGAAGGATAATAGTCACATGCATGAGTCACTAGACCAACATATAGAGATCCAAAATGGAAAAAGTGATGCTAATTGACAGAGAGGATGAGGTGGGTGAATGACAGAGCTGGTGCTGTGCATGGTGAGCTAAGATAATGCTGTGTTTGTGGCCTTGAGAGTGTTTCGGCAAAGCAACTGCAGCAGCTAAGTGTGATAGCAGCTCTGTGGGTGTAAGAGCCCCAGTCCTCAGCTTGGGGCTCTCTAGGGCTGTTGGGCTCCTTCCCCAGCTTTGCTCCAAGGCACAAGTGTGTATGAACAGGCAGGTTGAGACCCTGCATTCCCACTGAAGGAATGTCAGTCTCCATAAGTATTGGCCCTGGAGGGCTGACACAGGAATGAGGAAACTCCATCACTGGTGTGGCATCTCCTGCTCTCTCCACAGTGTGGGACGCAAGGTGAGTGGCCAGAGGAGTGAGTTGTAAGTGAAACACCTCCACAGCTTGCTTTGTTTCCAGCTCTGATCACACAGAGGCCCCACACCCAGAGGAGGTGATGGCCATGCCCACCTGCCCTTGACTGTCTGTCCTCCTTTGCCCCCTTCCAACTTCCCCATCTTTGTACTGTCTGTAGGAAAGAAACCAGATGACAAAAAGCAGTTGTGGTGCGGCTGAGCATGGCAGATGTTGCTGAGCTTTGTCACAGAAGATGCCTGGCTGGTCATTGCTATTCTGGCAGGTGGCTCTCCTGGGCAGGCAGCTGTGTCCTGGGTGACCAGGAGCACTGTTCCTTAGGGTGGCTGGCAGCCTGGCACCAGCCCCAGCTCGTTCCCTTTGGTCTGTTGGTGTCCTCGGAGCTGGCAGAGCACTGAACTGCCTCACTCAGCAGTGAAGTGTGCCTCCATGAGGAGGGTTGAAGCTGGGGTGGTCGTATCAGCAAACCTCTGCAGAACAGCTGCCCTCTCCCCTGAGAAACGGGTCACTCCAGGTCTTTGAGTTCTGCATGCAGGGTGGGAACGTGTGTGACCATGGGGAAAAGATGCTTACTGACTGTTATCCCCAGCCTTTGGGGGCACAGGGGAAAGCTTCCTGGGGGAAGCTTCCCCAAGGTACCTTGTAAACCAAGCATAGACAATCCAGGGTGCTTCCCCTGCCTTACTCCAAGCCTTGCATCTGTTTTCTTGTTCCAGGGTGTTTTGGGGATAATGAGATTTAATCAGTCTCCAGTTCTTCTCCTCCCCTAACCAATGGCTCAAATCCTATTATCTTGTAAAGCATTTGGAATTCTGTCCGCTGAAATTGCATTAAGCCAGGATGGAAATTCCTTGTGGCTTAAGCCTTGCCTCCATATGGCATCAAGTTGCTGCCGCTTGCTCTGCAGCGACTACAGGCTTGCTGGCATGGGGATGTAAGTTCTGGGGCTAGCCCCCAGTGAGATGGACTGATCCATCATAGGGAGGACCGGGAAGTGCTGGTAGGGGTACAGGAATGCTTGCCAAGGATGGGATTCACCCAGTTAGGAGCAAATATTGTAAGCTCTTGGCCAGTGTGCTCAGAGCCCTTAGAGACCCGGTGCACCTTCATCTTGCTGTGTTGTGGATGCAGTGCTGCTTTGTCTTTTCCAACTTTTTTCCCACCTTTTGAACTGGACAGACTGCTTCCAGGGAAAATGGGGTTTCCAGCCAGAGAGAGGAGCAGAGAGAGGAAGAAACTGTGGGTGCAGGGATGGTGGCTGGTTCAAGGCCATGGGGTAGGTGGGACATGGAGCTGCTCTGTGCTGATGGTTTCCTTTTGCCAGCTGCACTCCCCTTATCTCAGAGAGTGCATAGGTTATGTCTATGTGGCAGTGCAGGAGAGGTGGAGGCTTTGATTGCTTTCCGTAACACTGCTCATTACCTTGGGATTAGACTCATGCTGATGCTGAGGAGGTGCGCAACAGTTTTCCCAGCCATGGAGACCCAGGATGGGTGGGCACCAGTAGCCACCCCACTTGGCACCAAGGAGTTTCATAGCTTATGGAATTCTTCTTGCGATTCTTATCAAAGTGTTACTTGGGGAAGAGGACTTTTAGACACAATAATCTTTGCTAGGAAGGGCCTGTGAGCTGGAGAGCAGATAGGAGCTTGTGGAGCTCTTGAGAGCCAAATGGTGTCAAATTTTATCTTTCTAATTGGAAACTGCTTCATGGCTTGTCTAGGGCTTTGATTTTTACTTCTGTTTTTATTTTTCCCACCACATACACACCCTGACCACCTCAAATGATTTAAGAGCAGTGGGATGAGGGGATTTCCCAAGGGCAGGAGCTGCCTCTGCTGAAATCTTTTCTCCTTAACAGAGAGGAGCCCTCTGAGACCTGTCCAGTGTGGGGTACCCATGGGCCTCCTGGTGTTCACCCACCAGTCTTCCTCCTTTGGAAATGTGAACTCCAGCTCCCTGAGCTGGACACAAACGAGGAGGAAGATGCTGATCCATCACCAGGTCCATGGGCAGCTGCTTCAGACTGCTCTGCCCTCACTGAATAAAGAATAATGACATGGGTCCTTCCTCCAAGTAGTGAAATCTGTCATCTGTTCTGCTGCAGTCACTGTGTTCCTTTGCTGACCCCAGTCTCTGTCCCCACCTCCACCAGTGAGGCGAGAGCTTGGCTGGGAGCCCTGTGTCCCTTTGCTGTGATGGGATGTGTGGAATTTGGAGGTGCTTGTGGATGTGTGGTGCTGTACATGGTGTTTTGGTGTATCTGCAGGACAAGGGAGGAGGTTGAAGACGTTGCTCATAAATGTCTGCTCTGTTTCCATGAGGAGAAAGTCTTTTCCAAGTGACTGGAGATGGGCAAGACAATGATAGCTGCCATCTCAATGGGCTTAGTCCTTGAATGAAGTGTGCCAGCTCTTGTGCAGGACCTCTGCAGTCAGTGATGGTGTCTGGATCACTCAGAGCTGTCAGCACAGAAATGCGTCTCTATTAGTATCCTGTCTGTCAGAGAGTAGTCTCCTGTTTTGGGGACCCCACCAAGGGGACTCATCACTGTTCTCCTGCAGCCTTTGGCAAAGGGGGTGCCAGGGTGGCAAAGCTGATGAGCCTGCAGACCAGTGGGGCTATAGGAGTGGCCCCAGCTCCCATGGTTGGTGGGGAAGTCTCACCCAGCCCTTCTGCATACCTTTGGATGCTGAGCCGAGGATGTCCCTGGTCGTTCTCATCTTGTGGGACAGGGCTCAAGCAGGAGCACACCAAGATGTCCTTGGTGGGCTGGTCCCATGGTGCGGGTGCTTGGGGCCATGGGACTGTTGCTGCTGCTTCAGCTTGTAAGGATTGCCACCACACCTGGTGTGGGTATTGGAGTGTGGGGCTTTGGTGGGAGTGTGGGCTGCAAAGGAGATTGCATGTCCTTGAGTCCCTTCCAGTGCCTAAGGGGGCTGGCAAGAAAGCTGGAGAGGGGCTTCTGACAGGGGGGAATGGTTTTAACCTGACAGAGAGGAGATTGAGATGAACTCTTAGGCAGAAGTTCTTCCCTGTGAGGGTGGTGAGGCCCTGGCCCAGGTTGCCCAGAGGAGCTGTGGCTGCCCCATCCCTGGCAGTGTTCAAGGCCAGGTTGGATGGGGCTTGGAGCAACCTGGTCTAGTGGAAGGTGTCCCTGCTGTGGCAGGAGTTGGAACTGGATGAGCTGTAAGTTCCCTTCCCACCCGAACTGTTCCATGGTTCTATGATTCCTGCCTTCCAAACTCTGTTGTGGTGGGCGTGGTACGTGTTCTTCTCGTGGGGCTGCTCCATGTGGAGGGGAGGCATTGACTGCTGGCAAGGAATGTGCACCTGAGAGCTGGCCCTGTGGGGTTGTGTCCGGTGTCACTGGAGTGTTGAGAGCTTTTTGGGTTGTTTAGCCCTGTCCCTGGTGAGGATCTATCCTTAACCCAAGTGCTCTTGAGGTGCCAAGACTTGGGTAGCAGGTATCCTCATGGAAAGCTCAATGTTCAGGATCTGTTTTTCTGCAAGTGTTGGTGGAGTTCTAACTACTGGTTTTTGTTTTTCCCTTGTCATTCACAGTACAGTGCCGTGGACAGCAACCCTCTGTCTCTGTATGTCATGCATCCCTTCTGGAACACGATAGTGAAGGTGAGACCTCCTCCTCCCCTGAGCGGGACAACAAAACTCCAGTCACCCTCTGTAAAACTGTCAGCTGAAAAGCCCTGCTTTGTTTGTGGTGCAACTAATGACAAAGGATGCTGCTTGCCAGCCTGCCCCGAGCTCACTGCATTGCAGTCTAAAGCTTCTACCTGCCCACTGATACGCCAGATGCAACTAAGCAGTGCTGTCTAATGCCCAGATGATTGCAACCAAGTCTGCCATGGCCGGGAACAGCACATGGTCCCTATTACATGTTTTAATGAGTTATGTTTTGCTGCTTTCCCATAGATCTTCCCTACCTGGCTGGCCCCAAATTTGATAACGTTTTCTGGCTTCCTGCTGCTTGTCTTCAACTTCTTCCTCATGGCATACTTCGACCCTGACTTTTATGCTTCTGGTAAGGCTGCATATTCATGTTTGGATGTGAGGCATCCGAGTGCTAAAATCAGTCACCTCCTCTGCAGTGACCTCTGGTGCTTGTTGATAAGGCCTCTTAATCTGGACCTTCCCAGAGAGGAGTGCCTGTACCAGATGAGGGACAGAGTTGAGGGGTTGAACTTGCTGGGCTTCACGACAAGGGCTTGTCCAAATGTGAGTATGCTGGGCTGCACTGAAAGAAGTATCGCCAACAGCTAAAGAGAGGGGATTCTCCCCACTCCGCTCTTGTGAAACTGCCCTGCAGTCCTGCTTCCAGCATAAGAAGGATGTGGAGCTGTTGGAGTGAGTCAGGAGGAGGCCATGAAGATGCTCCAAGGGCTGGAGCACCTCTGCTATGGAGACAGGCTGAGAGAGCTGGGCTTGTTCAGCCTGGAGAAGAGAGGGCTCTGGGGAGACCTTAGAGCAGCTTCCAGTGCCTAAAAGGGCTGACAAGAAAGCTGGAAAGGGCTTTTGACAAGGGCCTGTAGGGACAGGACAAGGGGGAATGGCTTTAACCTGACAGAGGGGAGATTGAGATGGGATCTTAGGAAGAAGTTATTCTCTATGAGGGTGGTGAGGCCCTGGCCCAGGTTGCCCAGAGAAGCTGTGGCTGCCCCATCCTTGGCAGTGTTCAAGGGCAGGTTGGATGGGGCTTGGAGCAACCTGGTTTAGTGGAAGGTGTCCCTGCCCATGACAGGGGGCTGGAACTGGATGAGCTTTAAGGTCCCTCCCAGTCTGTGACAACTTCCCCCTGCTGGGTGAATGTGTGCGTGGTTGGCAGCATGTGTGCGAGGCAGGAGGAAACAGTTGAAATCTTGAGTAGGGATTGGCTCTGCCTACAGAGCAGACAATAACCTAGCACCCTTATTTTTAATCTAATGGTGTAACGTTGGAAAGTCTGCTTCCATGATGTCAGCAGGTGGAGCCTTGTTCTTTGCATCCCAGCTAATTGCTCTCTTGCAAAAACATGCCAACACCACATTCAGACTAACAAAGGCAAAATCCTCTTTCTTGATTTCAGTGTTCTGCATGAGGATATACACAGCTTTAAACTTTTTCACAGTATCCATGTTCCTCTGATTGTGAATCCAGAGGTTCATTTGTGTCCCCTTCCTCATGGGACTGAGCCAGGGCAAATATTAATACAACATGATCACTTCGAGTCACTTACCAACAGCTTTCTCTCTCAGTTTCTCTCTCCCTATGCCCCTGCCAGGTTTGGTTTAGGTTGCTCAGAAGAGTCCATCTCGTTTTTCTAAAACTGGGCCAATTATCAAAGCACAGTTAAGTGTGAAAAATTTGGGGTTCTTGGGATTGCCTTCATCAGTAGCAGACAAGTACTGTTCTTGGTGAGTCAGGTTCTCAGAAGCTCAGGTGGCCTCAGTGGCTGTCAGCTAATATGTGGACTGTGTTTTGGCCTACAGGCTATGGGAAGAAAAGCAGACAGTAGCTCAGGGTAGGAAGCTCAGTATGAGAACTTCAGTCATCCAGAAACTTGAGCTCTGCCAAAAGGCTGGTGAAGCTCATGCTTTAGGACCTTTTACATACGTGTTATGCATGTCCTGCTTGGAAACAGAACTTTTCATTTTGCTGGTGAGGCCTCCAGAAGCTTCCGCCTTCCTTCCTTGTGAATGGGTTTGTAGACATGATGCCTTCCATTTGCTGCTGGAAAAGCATCATCATGCTGCTCTAAGGAAATAGGAGTTGGCATTTCATGGAACCGCTGCTCCCCTGGGAGACCTCCTCCACGTGTCTTCCTGTGAGGCTGCTGCCAAGAAGCCGTGCTGCTTCCTCCTCTTTTTCAGATGCACCTTTGGGCTCTGTGAGTTGCAGATGGCTGAGCTGGCTATCTGCTGAAATGGTAGTGGAGGAGGTGGAGGTGTTATTAAGAAGGAACTCTATCTCAGTTGGCAGGATGCAGTCTGAAGCCTGGGCAGGGAATCCTGAGATGTTTCTGCAGAAGCAGGGTGTCTCCACACCTTGGAGAGGCTCTACTTGACGCTCTGTGAGCAAGTAATTGAGGAGAGTCTGATCTGCCCATGCTTCCATGGCATGCATTTGGCTAGCTGCGATTGCCAGTTCTTAAATCCCATGGCTCTTGGGAGCTGGGGACAGAGCACAAGTATGTTCTGGGAAGCAAAGTCCTTGGTGACCCAGTTTCTCATGCTGTCATGTCCTGAAAAACTAACATCTCAGTTTCACTGTTTGAGTTGTGTAGGTGCCTTGGTGAGCTGTCTTGTCACGGTGCCTCTTGTGCCAAAATAATCCAATTGAAAGTATGTGCTGAGCTGTCCTGACGTGGGTCTTTGATCTCTGCAGCTCCTGATCACCAGCATGTTCCAAATGGAGTGTGGGTTGTTGTGGGTCTCCTCAACTTCATTGCCTATACTCTGGGTAAGACTATCTAGTTGATTGTGGGGGTTTTGTGTCTGTCATCTGTTCAAGTTGTGGCTGTGTCATCTCCAAGCCTGCTGAGAAATTTTTGATTCTGTGTGTCTGCCACGCACAGATCCAGTTGCTGCTTGGGCTGCTCAAGCAGTTTCTGGAAGCTGCTTTGCAAAGCGGGTAGAAGGAAGTTGTCCCACAGTGAAAAGAGGATGCTGGAACCGACTTCATGGCAAAATGTGAAATTCTGTCTTTAGCCTGCTTTAAATGAATGTGATTTTGTCAGGCTATTGCATCTGTCAGTCTCAGAGAAGGGGGTGGGGAGCACACTCCCCATTAGAGGGTGGAGGTAGTGAGAGCTGCTGTTTGCTGGCTGTGTGCATGTTGTTGGCTGCAAAATGGCCCATTGCTTTGCCTGGGAGTGTTCAGTGAAACTCCCCATTTCTCCTTCTCTTCCCAGATGGTGTTGATGGGAAGCAGGCTCGCCGGACCAACTCCAGCACGCCCCTGGGAGAGCTCTTTGATCATGGCCTGGACAGCTGGGCATGCGTGTACTTTGTTGTGACAGTCTACTCCACCTTTGGACGGGGCTCCACGGGTGTCAGTGTCTTCGTTCTCTACCTCCTCTTATGGGTGGTTTTGTTTTCATTCATCCTCTCTCACTGGGAGAAGTATAACACAGGGATTCTCTTCCTGCCTTGGGGATATGACATCAGCCAGGTGGTAAGTACATGCTGCTGCTCGGATTTGGCAGAAGCTCAGTAAACCTATAGCATCTCTGGGGTGTGAGAGTGACCACTGAGGTGTGTGAGGGATGTGTGCAGCTCCAAAGTCTTCTAAATTGGTCATTTCAACGCTCTCTGGAGGTGGGCATCCTCAGCCTGTTTCCAGGTCTGTGGAGGAGGAGAGCTTTCCAAGGCTGCTTGTGTGCCTTTGAGCTATAGTTGTGTTAATGATTTGGGGTCTTAGGGTGCTGGTGGCACTAGAGTTTGACTGCTCAAAGCATTAAATCCAAGGAGATTTGTGTCATTCTGTGATTTTGTTCCAAGCAGCTGTTGTAAATAGACTCTGCAAAACATGAGGCTTGAAGAATGGAGTTTCCTCTGCCTTGAGTTATTGGCTTGAGTTTCCTGTTTCTGCTCTCCTGAGATGCATGTTTTGGCCACCTGAATCATTGCTTTAGTTACTTTTCCACATTATACCAGGGTGGGTAAATTCATGTCTAGAAGTTTGGGGTGCCTTTTGGCACTGGCAGGGTGTGTGTCTAATTGTAATGGGGTTAATTGGCATGTTAATCTCCGTGCCAGGAGCAAAGGTTCCTCAGGAGGTGCCTCTCTGTACTGTGGTAACTAGGCAGTCAATATGGAGACTGACTGATGGTGAGGGACCCTTTGGTATGTTGACATGTCTATATCTTTAAAGACATCTCTGCAGGAAGCTCCTTCTGAATCACAGAATGGTTTTGGTTGGAAGAGACCTTAAAGCTCATCCAGTTCCAAACACCTGCTACAGGCAGGGACACCTTCCACTAGACCATGTTGCTCCAAGCCCCATCCAACCTGGCCTTGAACACTGCCAGGGATGGGGCAGCCACAGCTTCTCTGGGCAACCTGTGCCAGGGCCTCACCACCCTCACAGCCAAGAACGTCTTCCTTATATGCTTCAGATCTCTGTCTGTTGCAGAAAGGCAGGGGGTGGAAGGCTAAGCTCCCCTGCAGTGTGTTTTACTGAGCTTCAGGGCTGCTATTAAAACTGAAATACCCCTTGTTAGGTTTTTCCCTGCATTTGCTTCTGCAGATAGATGAGAAAGTTCCCCAAGAAATGCTCCAGGGTCACTGCAACTTGCAGTATAAAACTTCACTCTCATGCTTCAAACATCTCATGAGTTCAAGCTGCATAGAGGCATCTTTGCTTCTGTTGTGAGGAGCAGCTCTTGGTTGTGTCCTTCTCAGCAGCTCAGCTGCTACACTTATTAGACCTGGTTTCATAATATGGGGTGTCTGTGGATTTTTTTATTTCTTTTTCCTGCTGGTGGGGAGAATTGAACATGGTGTTGTGCTGCTTTCCAGTCTTGCCTCTCTGGTTGCCCAAGCCTGCTTGTCCTGTGCTTTCTTTCAGACCATTTCAATTGTCTACATAGTGACAGCCATTGTGGGAGTTGAGGCCTGGTATGCACCTTTCCTGTTTAATTTCTTATATAGAGACCTATTCACTGCAATGATTATTGGTAAGAAACTCCATGTTGAAGCCTGTCTTTTAAACTCCACCTTTTTAATGAAACCCAATGTCTTAATTATATGGTAATGCTGCTGTTCTGTTTGCTGTAATGAAAACTCCTGTAGGCTGTTACTGAAGTGACTAATTAAGGGTGTTCTTGCAGCCTGCCTTTTCCCAGGATTTCAAATTATTGTCTTATGCATAGTTTCTTTAGAGAAGTTAACTCCAGTCTTCCTGGGTCTGCTGTTGACTTAAAACAGCAAGAGAGTGGTGCTCTGTGCTCATGTCTTGGATGTATTTTGTGCTGATCCTGAGGGTATAGGAGCCTGCTGCTGCTCAGGGAGTCAGCTCAGGTGCTGTCTGCCTGGGGCTGGGGGTATGTGTGGACAGGCAAAAGATTCGTTCCTTGCTTTGGAGCAGTGTGGTGAGCAGGTGAGGGCTGTGGCTGCTGCTTGTACAGGGCGCTGGGAAGCAGCTGGAGCCTAGCACTGGCCCCTGGATGCTAAACAGGAGCCTCCTTCGTGCCTGGAGCCTGTGAGCGTGTGAAAACATGTCTCCTCCGAATAGCAGTGTTGCCCGGGCCCTGGGGCTGTGGGATTTGTGTTGCCCAGGGGAAGCAGGGCTTGTTTGCAGCAAGAGCCATGGGGTTTTGAGTGACAGAAGGCCATGTAGCACCCACTGCAGGTGGCCAGCGGGGACCCCCAGCACTGTTTGCAGAACACTTGCTTTGCTGCTGTGGCTGTGTTTCAGAAGCTGGAGCCCACGTGCTGTGTGGGAGCCTGGGGCTGCTGTTGGGGGGGTGTTCCAGCCATGGAGGTGGGGAAAATCAGTCTGCTGCCTGGGGATCCTGCCTTCCATCTGCCCATCTGAAAATTACATTTAGAAATGTACAATTAAATAAAAGCCCAGCCTTTGTCTCCAGTGGTCAGTCAGAATCGGCTTCTGCAGAGGGGATGGTAATGCAGGGAAGCTTAGCTGGGGAGAGCTGTCCTTGCTTGATGTAGTTTGGCTTATTCAGCCTTTCTTGCTCAGTTTTTTTTTCTTAATTTCTCAGTTAATTTTTCTTAATCTGTGTCCCTTTCTTTAGGGGTTAATTGTATCTGCTCAATTTCAAGTTAATATGTGTTGAATTGTTGTGTTAAATCTAATGCTTGCACTTAATCAGGTGGATGCTCTGAGCTTTCCTTTGACAACTGTATAACTTAACATGTGAATAATAAATGCACTTTCCCTATAGGAAAACTGGAGCACAATGCCTCCATTGGCTGGGTTTGTGTACTTGGATAGGGGTTGGGTTATTAAAAGCAGGAACATTTACAGCTCTGTTAAAATACTTACTGCTAGATAAATACAGAAGGAGCTGATAGACTGTCATGGGTTTTGGTGTTGTGGATGATTTTTCCTATTGAGGTCTAGAGTTTTCAGAGTTATTTTGAGTTTTTGCATCGTTTGTCAAGTTAAACAACAAGAGCTTTTTTTCACAGTGGGAAGTGAAAATGCTTGCTCACAGTGGCAGAAATAGCAAATTGTCTTTATTATGAAGACTGAAAACTCTTTTGTCCACAACCATGCCACTTATGGAGTTTGAACTTGCCTTGTGCCTCATTAAATACAGTATTTTAATTAAACTTTGTGACTGTTTAAAACATAATACTGGACTCATTAATGTAACTTTTAAAAATGGAAATGTCTTTAATTTATAGCAGATCTTAACTTGTAATTACAGCTCTTGGACCAGAATTATGAGTACCTACTTTTAAATGTGCCGAGCTATTCTTGGGCCACTTCTGAACTATTTTTGTTGCAAGCACCTTAAGCCAGAGCACAACCCTCTGCCCATTCATGGGGTGCATGTGATGTTCTCCCTCTGTCACAGGGCAGTAACAGCTCTTTCTCTTCCAGCTTGTGCACTCACTGTGACGCTGCCGATGAGCCTGTATAACTTCTACAAGTAAGTTCCTCCATCCTTGAGTCTCTTTCCCTGCACTAGCACCTTTGCAAGAGCCCCTAAAGCTTCTTATAACCTGGTTTCCTTGGTAGTTTTCAGGTGAGTGACTTCTGTGGCAAAGTGGCTCCAACACACCAGAAAGGTCCAAGTTTGCAGGGTGGGCTGGCAGCCTGCTCAGCAGGGTCTTGCGGGAGGGTCCCCAGCTTTTGTAGTCTTACCCTATTGGTCACAACACAGAGAGCCAGGCAGCCAAGTGCTTCTGTAGTTCAGGAGGTTTTTGGGTTAATGATGCAGGTGTGCATCTTTCTTACCTGACCATGGTTCTAACTGACACCAGCAGTTTTGCGTAGCTGAATGGCCAGTGAGATTTTACAGCCCTCTGCTGAAGGTGGTACCAGGTATTTCTCAGGTGTGATTTTGATTTCTTTGCTTGTATTTCAGGGCCTATGAAAACAACACCTTGAAGCACCACTCTGTGTATGAAATCATGCTGCCACTGGTATCTCCAGTATTGCTGTTCTTGCTCTGCACCACATGGGTCTTCATGTCCCCAACAGACATCCTCGAGGTCCAGCCCAGGCTCTTCTACTTCATGGTTGGAACAGCCTTTGCTAACATTTCTGTAAGCAGCTTTTGCTTTATGCTCCAGTTTATCCCCTGAGTAGTGTGAAGCCTGGCAGGGTGCTTGGGAGGCAGCTCAAATGTGAGGAGAGGGGGAAGATGCCAAGATTAATTTAACAACTTTTCTATTTTGCCATGATTGGAAGAACAAACAGGAAAACAGTGTTTGGGGTCTGTGAATTTTGTGCTGCAATGCTCACTCTTGAGAAACTAGAGAATTAGTTAAATGGAGTGTGTTTATATACTCCTGCGCCCTCTGTGCTGTGAATAACAGACTGCTAATACAAAAGGAGTTGCTAAACTTAAAATGGAAGGGACTAAATGTTTTGTCAGAATCCAGTTTAGCCATATATTGCATCTCTGCTTGCTTGAGACCTTAACAAAAGCACCTGTGCCTGTCACTGTAGCCATGTGACTGAGCAGCTCTGTGCATTTGTGCCCTGAGTCCAGCAGTTCACACTGCTGCATGGCATGAGTTTCTGCTGATTGTGCAGATAATATTGGTGAGGCTTGGTCAGCTCAGGAGAGCTCCCTTTTTCTTTCAAAGATGGCCTCAATGCCTGTTTCCCTGTTACCTCCCTGCCTCACAAGTCTTTGCTCTGGGTCCCCTGCAGGAATTCTAATGCAAAGAAAGATAATTCATGTGAAACTCAGAAACTGCACGGTGGTAGTTGTAAGTGCAGATGGTTGGTACATGTACGCGTGTGACTATCCTCTGCACTGTGGACAGACTCTGGGCTTGCGGAGTTGATACCAGGCGCAAGCTCTGACAGCTTTCTCTTCCTGCAGTGCCAACTGATCGTCTGTCAGATGAGCAGCACACGCTGCCAGCCTCTGAACTGGATGCTGCTGCCCATAGCGGTGGCACTACTCGTGGTGGTGTCCGGGTTTGTGCCCCACAGCGAAACACTTCTCCTCTACGTGTTAACTGCTTTCCTCACCCTGGCGCACATCCACTACGGGGTAGTCGTGGTAGGTGAACTTGGCATATGGGCTTCAGGCTTGGCTGCCACACTTTGGCTGCACACATGGCTTGGGTACTGCTGCTGTTTGGGGCATAGAACACTCTGCTTAAAAATGGGAACATCAGTGGGAATGGCTGTGTCACGCTGTCTGTGACTACATGAGACTTGAGCTGCCTTCCTTGTGAGAGGCTTGTGCAGGCTGTGGGTGGGGGGCTGTTTGAAGCTAATGCTTGCATCCCTGCTGCCATGTTTAACTCCTCCCGGCTGGGGTTGCAGCTTAGTAACCAGCTTGGTTATAAGCAAGTGTAGGATACCCAGACTTGTGGGCAGGGGGAAGGGCTGCTGCAGCAGATACTCTGTCCGCACATCAGGCAGGAGGGCTTCATTTAGGAGTCTTGATATAAAAAGTTAAACTGCTGTTGGTGTTACTTTGGTTAATGAGTTTGAGTTGTGACCAGCGTGCCCTGCACTATAGTCACTGGGAGAGCCAAGAAGAAGGGGTGATGTCCCTGCTAGGGGAGGTCGGGGTTCTGTGGCTGCAGTGCCTTGTCCTGTGCTGCAAGGGTTATATCGAGATCCAGGCACCAATTTGCTCCCCTTGTACCATGCCAGCTCTGCCTGACTTCCTGAGTTTTGATTAAGACAGAAAACAGACTCAGAGGAGACTGAGTCCTATTAGAAATGCCTTGGGAAGCTGCTGAGGAAAGAGGGCAAGGGACCATGTCCCCTGTGGAGCTGGCTGCTGCCACCTGTGTGCACTGTTCTTGGGAAGCCCTGTCCCCTGGGAACCCCAGTTCTGACATGGAGTCTCTGGAGTCAATTTTGAACTGTAATTACAGCAAAGAAGTAATAGCCGGCTTGTCTTTCCAATTAGTATAATGAGGCTTCTGTGTGAGAAGGATTTGAATAGCTAAGAAGCTTAAATAAATTTGGCCTTGGAATCATAGCTGGAGATGGGGACTAAGCGGATGGTGTAATCCTCCTGCCCAGGCTTGCCCATCCCCTGCAATGAGCTTCTCAGTGCTCTGCTCTCTTGAGTTTGTGTTCTCCTCGTTCCCCTCCAAATTTCCAAGGGCCCGTTTTTGCAGTTTCTTCTTGCAGGATAAAAGAAACTTTTAAGGGTCTGTGTCTGCTACATAGTCCCAAAGAGCTCTAAATTTGGGAGTAACTGTTAGGAATAAACCCTCTGCCCAGCTCACCCTCTAGTATTGCTCAGCACTGCTCACTCTTGGTTGTGCAGTAACTTACCTTGCAGTCACAGGTTCTGGAGCTGCTCTGTCCACTTTAACCTCCTGCCTGCATTTCTCTGAATCATTCCTGAAAGCTCATTTCCTGGTGCAGCACTTAGTCATAGAATATAGAATGGTTTTCAGTTGAAAGGGACCTTAAAGATCATACAATTCCAACCACTGTGCCGTGGGCAAGGACACCTTCCACTAGAGCAGGTTGCTGCAAACTTTGCACAACCTGGCCTTGAACACTGCCAGGGATGAGGCAGCTAGAGCTTCTCTGGGCAACCTGTGCCAGGCCTCACTCACAGGGAAGAACTTCTTAATAACTAGTCTAAATCTACCTCACAGAGCCATGGCTGGCCCCAGCATTGAGCTGGCAGGGGCTGGCTCAGGTCCTGGGCAGGGCAGCCTGGCTGGCCCCACAGCTGAAGAGAGAGGCTGTGGTCCCAATCTGCTGCACCCACGGGAGTGTGTAGTGTGGGCAGTGGTTGGGGAAGTGCTCATAGGAAGGTGGCAGGGGCTTTGTAGCTGTATAGGGAACCTGTCTGGTATTCTGGCTGCTTTCCCCCTCATCCATCCAAGCCTTGCTAATCCTGTCCTGTTGTCTGCCTTGTCCCCAGGTGAGCCAGCTGAGCAGGCACTTCAATATACGGCCCTTCTCGCTAAAGAAGCCCACGCCAGATTGACTAGGAGTGGAGGAAGAGAAAATTGGCTTGCGGTCTGCAGAAGTACTGTAAATAACTGCTGCAAATACCTGTAAATACTTCAACCATCACCACAGATCTAAACCTATCTTCTGGACAGATATCAGGGCAAAGTACGCACGGTATCCGGTGCAGCCAGGGCAGAACTGGTACGGGGCAGCCCCTGCTGCTGTTTGAATGTGAGCTTTTGGTTTTGGGTGAAACTGGATGAGGAGGGCATTTATTTCAGGTCACTGTTACTGTATATTAGACCAGCTGAATGTTCCCAGTGAAACCTCAAACTCCAGCTCTTGCTCAAGTAAAGCCAGTTGGCGGTGCAAATGGCTTTAGCTGAGCAAGGAGTCTTGACCTGTCACCATAACCAACATAACAGTTGATTTCTGCAAGGTCAGGGAACATCCTGGAGGTCAGGGGCATTCCTGTCTGTCCCTAATCCTGCCTGGCAGCGTTGTCCTGCACTGGTACTTAGGGAGCAGATGTTGACTGCTCTCCCAGTCAGCCTGCCCAGTCTCCTGCCTTCCTGCATTCACCTGTTTGGGCAGATACTTACACCTGTTTGGTTTTTGTTTTAAGAGGGGGAAAAAAAGAACTACACACAAAACTTTCAGTAACATTCTGCTTGGAGGGCTTAGAAAGTCAGGGCTTGATTTCCTGCAAAGGTGGGAAGGTGGCTCCTGCCTCCCCTGCTTGAGTTGCGGCTAGCCTGGGACTGCATCTTGACCTTGTTTCTGTCTGTCCATGTGTGTTCCCCACCTGGAAACGGAGTCTGGGCTCCAACTGGCAGCTGCAAGTGGCTTGCACCAGCCTAACACAGAGCTCATCTCCCCCTTCTGCCTCCCAGTAAGAACTTGGTGTTTCGGGCCAGCTCTGCAGGGTGGCTGCATGCTGCCAAGCCTGCACCTCTCGCAGCACATCACCCTTCCCGCCAGCCCTCCAGTGGCCGCAAATCCACTGCTTAAAGAAGCACCTTAACTGCAGCGTCGTGTTGGTCATGTGTGCACTTTCAGGGAGCTCACAGGTGCATGTGTGTGGTGGGATCCTGTCCAAATACCGCTTTATTTTCCAAACCGTTGTCCCCAGTGGCTGCATGTCTCATCCAGGGATGATTTGTTCACTGTCCATTTGTAAAAGACATGTTTGCATTGATTTATTTTTTTAAATTTGTTTTTTTTTTTCTTTGTGATTGAGTTAAGAGTGGGGTGGTGAAGATTGAATGCTGATTTTCTTTTCTGTTCACTTTATTTAATGAAGACCTGTGCTTGAATGAAGAGTGTAGCTTAAACCCAGGCTCTGGAAAGGCTGCATCCGGAAGCGAACAAGCACAACAGATTGTGCATATGTAATCTACCATGGGAACAAAGTTGCTTATACACTGAAAATTGTGCAGCGTGGCTCCTAGCAGCTTGGTCATGGCATTTTCCTTCTGCAGGTGATGAGTCCTCCTACTTTAGGAAACCTGTAACTATTATTTAATGCTTTTTCTTTGGTAAATTTGAATCATCATTGTGCAGACTGAGACTTGAAATCCTGAGGTGAGCTCACACGTTCCCCATGTGCATATGAGCTGCTTGGTTGCTATGTGTCCTGTGAGGAGCGAGCTGGTGTGACATGGGAACGTCTGTGTGCTCATGTGTCTGTCTGGCTGCGGCGTGTCTGGAAAGGGTGGCTGCGCTGGGAGAGGGGTCAAATGGTTTTCAGAGTTTATTTAATAAAGCAGCTTACTCCTATATATTTTACTGATGTTGTACAGGAAAAAAGAATCTTAAGTGTACAAATGAATTGGGCTGCGCTTGAATTTTTTACCCTATTTAATGAAATGTGGTTATGAAGGGAGATAAATTCAAGTCATGCTCGCACAATAATTACAGGGAATCTGAAAATGGGGCACAGCGTTGATCTATGGGACATCTTCAGGTAGCAAAACTGTGCTGGCGGCACTGACAAAAAAGTGGAAGTTGGATGATTTGCTTCCTAGTTATGTGTTTGCAGGACCAGGGAGTAATTGGGCTGTTCCCTCAGGCTTTCAGGTGAGCTCTGGGTCCCCATCCTGGAGCTGGTTTTGTCCTGTCTCCTTCCACCAGCAGTGCTGGGCCCATAGGACTGGGCCATGACTGATGCTATGAGAGATTGTATGATCTTAAATCTTAGGATGTCACTTTGTCCCCCTAACACACTGTCTGTTGTCCTACTGACCTGTGAGCTGCTGCCCTTTTGCAGCATGTAATATACCCTAGAAAACCCCTTTGTGAAGATACAAACATGGAAACAGGGCTTCCTCTTTAAAGTCCTGCAAATACTTGTGCTGTAAGAGAAACTGGAACTGCTTCCTATCTGCACCAGCTTTATCGTTGGAGAGTCCTGGATTATTGGTGCCTTAATTTATTGCACCTTGGAAGTAGAAAAACTGTCTGCTTCAGTCAGTGCTGGAAAGTGGGCTGGCTCGCCTCTAGCGCTACCAGGCTTGTGGCAGAGTGAGGAGAGCTCAGACCTGATCTCAGTGCACGTATGACTCTTCCCAGCTCCTGCCGCTGCGAAGCTGGGGGGTTCTGTTTGGGCTATTGGAATTGAAATGATTCTGATCCCAGATTTTGGTAGGGGAATGGAAGCAAACAGATTGACCAAACCATCTTGCCGTGGTGGGGTGTGGCATGCTGAGAAACAAACTATTCATGAATCAGAATGGTTTTAAGTCTTAAGAATAAATGTATTCCTTGCTGAGAGCATCTGGTGGTTATTGTGCTAGAGTGGAGTGTGCTGGCTAGACTCTGTCATTGCAGTGGGTTGTGCTTCTGGGGATGGGACAGGGTTGTGTGCTTGTTCCTCTGCTCCTGCTCAGTATTTGAGAGCTGATCTGTGTTGTCTCTGCTTCCAGGGATAGTGGGTCCTGTTTTCTTTATAACCCGTGGACCTCCTGGGTTGGTAACAGGACTGTCTTATGCTTTCCTAAATCTATTCTGCACACTTTATCTCAATACAGAGTTTGACCAGGAGCAAACCTATCCAGGGAGGGGTGAAGTCATTGGAGATGTCAGTCTCCCGGCGGCTCCTTGTGCTGCGGAGAAAGGTGGCCAGTGCCACCAGCTCCTCCTCATCCTCACCAGGCTTTGCGCTGAAGCAGATTTTTGTGGGAAGCTGGGATGCTCCAAGGTGTCAGTGCAGGACTTGCGCAGCTGAGGCAGAGCAGGAATCTTGTTTGCAGCCTTTATCATCTTGATCTTGTTTCCTATCACAGCTCCTGCCTCTGCACCAATCCAGGGACCCAGTGCAGGAACTCACAAGTGGAACTGGAGTGGAGGGTGAGGTGCAGGTTTTGGGACCCCCTTGGGTTTGGGCCATCTAAAAGTGATTTTTACAAGTACAGATGCTGTGGTTGACCTGCAGGCCTACAAACACGCACTGTGTGCTGATGGTTTCAGCTCGGTCCTTCCTCTACTGTGTCTGTGCTCCAGTTACCTCCTTTCTTCAGTGGTTGGTCACTGCGGGGGCTTGGCAGAAGCTCTCCTTTCATAAACATCAACCACCTGCTAGAGGTGGCTTTCCCAGAGCTGGGGGAGCTCCATGTTGTAAGCATGAGTTTCTCAGGCTCTGCAGACACTCATTTAAGCTCCTTAAATGGAGCTGGCCCAATGTTACCTGCCAGGTGCGCTCAAACCTGTAGGTTGAACTTTGGGAGCTGTTCTAATCTCAGTCAGGTCAGTTCTAGCCAGGCCCTATAAATGCAGGACAGGGGCCACGTCTGCAACTCAGCTATGGGCCTCAGTATAAGAAGGAGGTGGAGCTGTTGGAGAGAGTCCACTCCAAACTGTCCTGTGATTTGATGATTCTGTGAGCCCTTCAGAGCATCTTCAAGGGCCCATGTCCCTGTGGCTGTTCAGTTTTCCTGGGCAGGGTGTGGAAGCAGTTGGTGATGCTGCCTCGTCCTTCCAGGAGCAAGTTCAGGGGCACCACCTGGACTTGGTCTTCTGTCACCAACCCCCTGTGCAGTGGGGCCAGAGAGCTGATGCAGCGGCTGCTCTCAGGTTCCCAGCGCTGTGAAATGAGTCAGTGAAAGACACCTTGGGGCTTGTGGTGGTTTGGTTCTTCCCCTTCCCCGCTGAACCTTCCCAAGGGGCTGCTTTTGGCAGGAGCCTGGATATTCTGCTGCATTCCCCACCAGAGCTGAGTGCACTTGGCCCCTCTGGCTGGGGATGTCCCAAAACAGGGATCAGATGAAGCTGCCGTGGGCCTTGGGACCCCGATTGCTGTCCTGGAGCCCTGTCTCTGGGAGTTTAGGTACTGCAGTGGGTTTAAATTCTGGTCTGTTAAATGCTATTGCTGAAGTATTTATTGTGTTTAAACAAAACTATCAAATTCTGTAAAGAATAAAGTTTCCAAAGCCTTTTAATGGAGTTTGTCTTTTTTTTCCCCTTTCTGATGAGCAGGCACCTCAGTACAAGGAGCAGGTTTGGGCAGTGGTGCCACGGCTGGAGCGGCAGCCCCACTTTACCATGGCAGAGGTGGAAAAGCTCCTGTGTGGGCTCTCCCTGGAATGATGGGGTTTACTCTGGTGCTGAGCTTGGCTGTGGTCACAGTGCTCATTGAGGTGCTGACTGGAGGATAGGGCAGGGGACGCAGAGAGGGTGCCATGTTTGGGGGTACAGCCTCCTCTTTTTATCTCAAGCACTGCCTTCCCAAAGGTTCTCCCTTCACCTTCAGGCTTCTCTTTGTTTTGCCAATTCTGCTGCTGGTGCTGATCCCTGCATCCCTGTAAGTCATTGTGTACCCTCATAGCGTGCCCGGGGCACTCGTGGTGAGGAAGAAGAAGGTAGGGTGAAGCAGGATACAGGGTGTGTGCAGAGAGGTGGTTTCTTGTGTTGTGGATCGAGCAGTGGGCAGTGTCAGGCTGTGGGTTACAGTTGGTGTGATGCTTATGGCTGTTGCAGGGGGATAAGCAGCAGGCCATGGATATGGACAGCGATGGGACAAGGGAGCAGTACCTCCTGCCCTGTTCCTGGTTGCAGAGTGCCAGTTTGGGACCTGGGGAAAGAGATGGCAGCTCTGACCCCTCTCCAGGGCAGGTATCAGGGCTCCTCAGAGTAGAATCATTGAATCACAGGATGGTCTGGGTTGGAGGGGACCCTAAAGCCCACCTAGTTTCACCCCTTCTCTCCACAGCACCCTTAGAGTTGGTGCTGCGTTTCCACAGGTGCTTGGCAGACTTGGGGCTGCGTGGGGATGTGGCTCTTGAGGATGGCCTGAAACACAGGGCTTGGAATGTGGAAATGCTGCATTTCATGGGGCTGGGAGTCCCTGGAAATGGGTGCTTTCCCATCAGCAGCGTGACTGCCCTGACAAGCTCTGCCCTGAGAAAGCTTCCTATCGTCACAGCGGGCTCTTAGCATCATTGGCTTTGGGGCTAATCAGGGTGATCCCACCTTATCCCTGCTCCACTGTGGCCGGGGGTGCACACAGGGGAATAAGCTGCTCTTGGTGGCTGCTGGCCCTGGGCAGGAGACCACAGGCAACTGATTTAGCCAGGGAGGCTGAGGTCAGGAATTAAGAATGTCCTCTCATGCCCCACACTGACTTTTTCGGGGGGGGTGAGTGGAGCCATGCTCCTCCTGGCTCCTCTGGCTTCAGGACAGCACTGTGCTGGGACTTGGTCCTTGCTCTGGTGGCCAAGTGACATGGGTTGCTATGGCATGGGAGGGGGTGGGGGCTGCCTTCTCCCTTCCGAACCCACACCTTGGAGCTGGGTGGGGAGAACACGACTGGTTACTACAGGAGCTTCCAGCCCCAGTGCCACCCTCCGTGGTCCCCACTGTGTGCCTGGTGCCCTTCAGGACGGTGCCATCTCACCTGGGATGTGCTTGCGGTTGGGAAAGCTCTGCCGTCCTCCACCAGTGCACAGGGGCTGTGGTGGTGTTCTTGGGTGCTCTGCACCCTGCATGGCAATGTCCACCCGCTGGCATTTCCACCAAACCCAGCAAGAACTGCTCCATGTGAAGGTGTGTGACGGTGGTGCTGCTGGGGCAGGAACCACGCTCTCCCAACTGAAAGTGGCCGTGAAACATCTCTAGGAGCTGTTTTGCTCCCCAAGTGAAGGGGTTGCTCTGCACCCTGCAGCTCCATGGGGTGAGGTGGGACATCACAGCAGGCATGGGCTCTGTCCCACTGCAGACCTACCCCAGGATATAGGGTGACAGACAAGGGAATGAGGGGCTGAAGCTGCCCTGGGAGCAGTGGAGGAGGCTACAGGCTGGTGGCAAAGCCTTGAGCAGAACACAAGAACCCTGCTGCCTGTTCTGGTGCCCTCTGGGCTAAAGCCCAGGTGTGTTTAAGCAATGCCTCATCCTTTATCACTGTCTCACAGCTTCCTCTAAGAGGATTGCTGTGGTAGGTGTAATATACTTAAGGGATTGTTAGTAACGATGGTGTTTTGGCAGCATACCGCGAGCACTGGCTGCTGTCATGGTCCGTTTGGACCTTAGGGGTTTACAGGACAATATACTCTGTCAAACTTCATTTTATGAGCGTATTAGGAGGGAAAACAAAGGACTCAATCCCGCTTGTACAGCCCAGGTAAATGGAAGAGGTCACTAATTCATCACTTACTTAGGGGAAGAGAGGGAAGAGCTGTACTGCTGTTGGCACCAGAGCTGCTTGCCCACCTGTATTTGTCCAGCCATGGCCTCCTTCACCCCTCCCTGCCAGTGCCCAGCACCCAACACTGCAGAGATGTCTCCTCACACATCCCTCTGCTCACCCCCACATATGCACATGACCCTTCCAAAGCAGGGGGGGGAGCTGTCCTCGCAGGCTCCCCAGGGTCTTCTGGCAAGGGCCCTACCGCTCTCAGAGCACCCATAGTGTCTGGGGCCCCAACACAAAAAGGACATGGAGCTGTTGGAGCGAGTCCAGAGGAGGCCACAAAGATTCTCCAAGGGCTGGAGCACCTCTGCTATGGAGACAGGCTGAGAGAGCTGGGCTTGTTCAGCCTGGAGAAGAGAAGCCTCAAGGGAGACCTTAGAGCAGCTTCCAGTGCCTAAAGGGGCCGACAAGAAAGCTGGAGAGGGGCTTTGGACAAGGGCCTGTAGGGACAGGACAAGGGGGAATGGCTTTAACCTGACAGAGGGGAGATTGAGATGAGATCTTAGGCAGAAGTTGTTCCCTGTGAGGGTGGTGAGGCCCTGGCCCAGGTTGCCCAGAGAAGCTGTGGCTGCCCCATCCCTGGCAGTGTTCAAGGCCAGGTTGGATGGAGCTTGGAGCAACATGGTCCAGTGGAAGGTGTCCCTGCCTGTGGCAGAGGGTTGGGACTGGCTGAGCTTTAAGGTCCCTTCCAACCCAAACCATTCTGTGATTCTATGATTCAATGCTATGGTGATGGAGGTGTGAGGAGCTCAGACAGAGCAGGTGGGACTGTCGTGAGCAGGGTGAGCACAGCATGGTGGGGTGTGGACAGGATGGGGCTGACTTGTGCAGTCGTCAAAGCTGTGGTGTCCAGGACATGTTTCTGCAGGATGATACAGTGTGTGCTCTGGGAGCGCTGGGATGGCTGTGAGGGACGTGGTGGCTTCTCACCGACTTCTGGTTTGGACACAGAGAGAAATTCTAGGAGGGAAAGCACAGGGCCCCGATGTGTGGAAGGGGCCAAGGAAGGTGGAATCCTGAAGGGCTTGCAGGGGGAGAGGGTTAATGCCAGGGAAGTCCGGGAGATGCCCATGCCACAGCTCAAGGGTAGCCCTTTGCTCAGGGCCCCTGTTTGCACCTCAGGCCCCCCCTCTGCCCCCAGCCTGGGGCTCTGAGGAGTCTCCCTACCCCGGGGGTCCTGCTGGGGGACAAACGGAGCCCTGGTGTCCCTCCTCGCCTCCCTTCTCCCCCCTAGGATGGGCAAGAGGAAACTCTCTGGGCAGCTCCCCGCGGTGCAACCAGCAGATGATGGAGAGCAGTGACAGGGACCCTTCCTCTGGGGTCCTGGGGTGGAGGTGGCTTCCTCCCTCCTGCTGTCCTGCCCTGGGGGAAGGCAAGGCTGTGCCTGGTCTGCCCCATGTAGCTGAAGGACCAGGCTGCTGCCCAGGGAATGGGACCTGGGGAAAGGCAGCAGGAAAAGAGGCTGTGACTGGGAAGCAGTGGGGCAGGTGGCGGGGAGAAGCAACCAGCGATGAGCCCTTTCCCCGCTAGCAGGAGACCCTGGCAGAGAACGTGGAAGTGAAAGCTGGTTTTTATTGACTGATTAAAACAGTGGTACCCTAAAAACACTCCCAAGATCTCCTCAGTTACTCACTGAGGGTCTCGCACCCCTGAAGCTGAGAAGGGCAGCTTTTCAACAGCTGAATGTTGAGGTGAGCTGAGAAAGGAGCCCTTCCCTAACATCCACGGCAAGAAAGGCTCCAGCCGCAACACATATCAATCCAAACAGAATGAACTGAGCGTCAGGAGGCCCACAGGGAGCTCACACTGTGCCAGGGAGCCTGGCTCCCTGTGAGCCCCTAGGCATGTTCCAGCCACCACCACCTCTGGGGTGGTAACCTTGGGGAGATGGATGCTTCAGAGAGGGAAGGTCAGTGCCTGCCCCTTGCACAGCCTCAGGGCTCTCTGTGGGGCCTTGGTGGCTGCTGGGGTACAATGCCTGGTGTTGCCCATGGTGGGATGGAGCCCTGCACCTGGGGTCAGTGAATTGCAGAGCTATGAGTGGAGCAGGGACTGTGGGGGCAGCGGGGACAGGCAGTGGGGATGCTGTGTGCTTTCCCCATGCTGTCCCAGATCCCTGCTTCATCCTTGTCTCTGAATGCTCCTCCAGTGGGCCTTTTGGGAGCAATCCCACAGCTCCAGCTTGCTCTCCCCTCCCCTTTACCCAGGAGGGCACCAGCCATGGCCCCAGTGGGCAAAGGGCTCCAAGACTTGCAGCCCCAGATCCTCGCAGGAACAGCTGGGCACCTCTGCCAGCCCCAGTGTGGGATGCGTGGCCTTGGGATTGATGCCATCCTCCAGCCCCATTCCTCTGGGACTAAAGCTGTGAATGGGACCCACAGAGGAGGAATGCAAAGGAGGAGGCCCAGCAGCAGCAGGGAGGAGATGTCCCCCGAAGCTGCCGAGAGGCTGCAGGGTGGAGGAGGACATGCAGTTGGGGACGGTTGTGCCACAGGGCTGGGAACATGGAGGAGGCTCCCATGCTTCATGCTCCCAGCAGCTTCTTGACCATGTAGCCTGGCATGCTGTAGAGGAAGAGGGCGACCATGACAAGGAGCAACAGGGCCAGCACGATTTTGATGATGAGCCACTTGTAGCGTGTGCAGATGAGGTATTTGATGGACTTGAGTGGGTTCAGGAACCAGATGAAGGATGTGTCTGGGCGGCTGCAGGGGAAACAAACAACTCATCATTAATGCCATTGCCATGGAGAAG